TTATTCTATAACACTAACACTTGATATGTTTTTCTTTATGTTTAACAGCTTCTATTACAGTTGGTTTGAATGCACCATACTGTGAAGGTGTCTGAATGTTGATTCCATCTTGAGATAACTGCGGACAAATGGTTGCTGATTTGCTGGTTGATAACATTGAAGATGTTACTATATTAGTTGCTATTTTGGTTTTAATTTTGGTTCTTGCTGGTACTTGTGGACTGTTTTTCTGAATTTTTAGACACAATATTCTGCATCAGACTTGGATTTGGAAGTTGACATTTTTGCTGTTGCATTACTGTTGTCAAAGTGGGTTTCAAGGACAATTTTCTTATTTTGGATTGATGGATAGTTTTTAAACTAGCAGCATTTCCAGTTGTATACCCTGATACAGTTTTTTGTCAGTTTTGTTACGTACATTCGAGTTACATACGTTCGAGTTACGTATGTATGAGTTACGTACATATGAGTTACGTACAATCAGTATGTATGACTTACGTACGTTCGAGTTACGTATGTATGAGTTACATACAACCAGTATGTATGACTTACGTACGTTCGAGTTACGTATGTATGAGTTACGTACAATCAGTATGTATGACTTACGTACGTTCGAGTTACGTACATATGAGTTACGTACAATCAGCATGTATGACTTTAATTGACAAATGTGAAAAATTAAATTTCTTTTGCCATAAACTTGTTACTTCTTTCTCAATTTTCTTTATGCATTCTTGCCTACCTTTAATGGATTCTACCAGGAACAAATAGCGACCAACAATTTGAATGTTGAGAATTATCCTGCTGTTATCTTCCAGTGATTGTTCTTCTAGTGGAACAGTTTTTTTTCTTCTGTGTGACTTAAAAAAATGTACAAGATTCTTTATCCAGATCGTCTTGTTTCTTTCAGTAGTGAAAGCAGTTTTCTTATAGGATATTAGTATTAAAAATAATACTTGAATATATTTCAAAAAAGGGCAATAATAATAAATATAGTATAAATAATAAATATAGTGCTATTATAGTTTTAGATTATTTGACTGCCATCTGGTGAATACAGATTCATATATTTGTATTAGCGTTGCTTAATCAGGCAACTTATAAAGTCTAAATCTTGCTAATTTTCATAAACTTCTAGAAGACTCGCAAAAATTCGAGAAAGTTTCAGAGATTTCTAAAAACATCCCAAACAGTCCAGAATATTCCATAAGGTTCAACAAAATTCAAAGCTTCAGAAAGTTATAATGCTATTGCCTGCAAATACTACTTAAATACTATTTTAAAAATTTTGTGTTGTGGGTGACTTTATTTGAAAATCAAAATAAAACCCATTTTTTCATTACTTTGCGCAAAATTTCATTAATTAGTGACTCAGGAAATTAGTTTTACAAAATATAAAAAGTCATAACCCTATATGTATGTATGTATGTATGTATGTATGTATGTATGTATGTATGTATGTATGTATGTATGTATGTATGTATGTATGTATGTATGTATGTATGTATGCATGTATGTATGCATATATGTATGTATGTATGTATGTATGTATGTATGTATGTATGTATGTATGTATGTATGTATGTATGTATGTATGTATGTATATATATATATATATATATATATATATGTGTACATATATATATATATATATATATATATATATATATATATATATATATATATATATATATATATATATATATATATATATATATATATATATATATATATATATATATATACATATATATACATATATATATATATACATTCACATATATATATATATATATATATATATATATATATATATATATATATATATATATATATATCCACAATTTTACTTACCATTATGTCAAAATAAAACCAAGCATAATTCATAGCATGTTCTTTAAAAGGATTCTGTGCAACAGCCCATTGCATAGCAATCTCTTCGTGAACAAGCTTATGACTAAACTGCTGTTGAGCTGAAGATTTGTTTTGCTCTGCAACACTATTCCTAAAAACAAAATTTGAATTAAAATATTACTTTAATGTAATGAAAATATAAAAAATTTTAATGTACTTTGATTTTGAGTAAAATTAATAACAAATAAATAATGCATTAACTATAACATAAAAAATAACTTAGTTTAATATTTAATACTAAACTAAGTATTAAATTAAAAAATAAAACTATTATGCACATATATTATATATAGGTAATAAACAATGATTTATAAATATGAAAATAAACTATATATATATATATATATATATATATATATATATATATATATATATATATATATATATATATATATATATATATATACATATATATATATATATATACATTCACATATATATATATATATATATATATATATATATATATATATATATATATATATACATGCACACACACATAGTACAAAATACTAGACGATCAAAATACTAGTAAAATCATAGTACGTATAAGTCGTATAGAAATATAAATTACATTATGTAATGAAATACATAATATTCCTCGATGCATCAAAAATTTTATTTTCACTAAAATTTAGGTATAAATATATAAATAACTTGGTGCTTATTGTATAAGACAGTAATCATTTGTTTTTATCTGTAAATGTTGCTCACAAAAAAAAAATTTATAAATATTTAATTATTGCTTTGTGCCTCGCTGGCATACAGCATGGTTCATTTATCTATAAAATTTCTTATTGTCAAACTGATTATTATCTCTACATATTATTGCCAAACTTAATAGTGCTAGTAGTAGTGTTAGTGTCCATTCGAGAGTGTTTGACTTAGAACCTTTGCAACGATCGCCATTGCAATCGAGGTAGTGACGAGAAAGCGTCGCAGTACATTTTCTTGTAATTTTCTTGTATTTTTCTAACGAAATAATAATAATCTGCCTATTACTCAAAATCAAGTTAGGATTCACTAATATTGACGCGTCACGACCGCGTCATAATCTTTTTAAAATAAGATTATTTTTTTTTGTTTTAAGGTAATCCAGCGTTACAAAAAAATATATAAAAAAACATTTTGTCAAATTAAATTAATTAATAAAAAGTTAATAAAATGCCAATAGTTAAAAAAATCTGTGAAATTAAAAAAAACAAAGTGAAACGAAAATTGTTTTTAAAACCTGTAGCTGTAAGTTTATTAAATGTTTTTTTAAAAAAAATGTTTTATATTCAATATTTTTTTTAAGTGTATGAAAATATCTAATGTAGTTAAGCCTCAAATTAAGTAATGTTAAAAAAATACTGAAACATCAAGTTTTACAGTTTGACTTTTACTTGAAAATTGAATTGTGTCAAGTTCTCCTTAATTTAGATCTAAAACATTTATTTTCGTTAAAAAAATCATTATATAGTTTTAAAAATTTTTGACTATCAATGTGTTAGTGTGGCCAAGTAGATAGTGCACCAAGCTTCTGAACAATTATTTTAAAATACAAAATACTTTTGAAGATTTATAGAGATTATATACAAACATATGTAACGATATTATAAGGCCATTTTTCAAAATGCATTAATATGCTTATTACGTAATTCGATAAAAACGCAATAAAAAAAAAATTATTAGGAGAAACTCTTTGTACAATGTTTTTTGAAACAAAAAATTTTAATGACTTTTTTCAGAACTCTTTGAAAATATGTATTCAATAACGTTTGTAGACATCTAGACTAACTTATTTTGTAAAATAAGTCAAAATTTATTTTGTTTACCTTGAGGCGTTTTGAAAAATGGCTGCAATATGGATCAACGAATATGTTGAAATGATATAAAAAACATAAAAATTGTTTTTTAATATAAAACTAATTTTTTTTAAACTTTATTGTATTGGTAGGTTTGACGCTTAACCACCCCTATATAAACAATATTTATAAACAAATATATTATTTGATTATGTATATTGTTTGTAAAATGTAAAAAATCTACTTATATAACGTTTTATTCAGGATCGTATATAATATAAGTAAACTTTCCTAATAATTACAAGTCTTTTTTGTTCAAGCTGTTTTGTTTTATATTTTTTTTTAAAAATGACAAAAATTGAAAAAACACAAAACATATTGTCTCATCCAAGTAGGAAATTTGAAAATTCAATTTTAGATTTGCCTCTCTCTTGATAATTTCTGATTACTAAAATTATTTCATCTGCTTCTTAGACCTTCTAAAATGATAGATAAGGCTTTTTCGTAAATCATTAAAGTCACAGTTTTTTTGCGTATGTGACGCCACTTTGTGGCCAAAAACTAGAAAAACAAACTAGAAATAAGATTTTGTTTAAATAAAAAAATTCCTTTTATTAAAAATATATGGAATATATTTTTATGATATATTCTAATAAAGACAAAAACTATTTATTTATTACTATTGTAATAAATACAATCTTTTATCTGTGAAAATAATATATCTGTACCAGTTTTATATATTTTTATGCAGTTGTATGCAACATATTTAAAATTAATCAAAAAATGTAGGATAAATGCAAAAGGAAACTTGACGCATAATGGTTTATTTTGCCACAAACTGACAATGCACAAAATTTTTTTGACTTAACTTTTAGATAAGCGTTTAATATTATTCTTTAGTTTTTAATCATAATCATAAGAATGAACTTTTTTTTTATGTTTTAATGGTCTGAGATCTTCTTAGTTATATTTGTATAGTGTTATGTACAAACCTCTGTAAGTGTAAATGTCTTTAGCTTATGTTGAGTTTGCAGGCATTTTATGAAATAATCGTGTATAATATTTCTATAAAATGACAAAACTTTAAAATTTGATTTTAAATTTTAGAAATCTTTTTTGCTATATTATAATTTTTTTGCTATAAATATATAAGCAAGATTGAAAAAATTTCAAAATTTATTACACTGAGAGAAGGTCTTAAACCCCCAAAACAATACTGATGACAGCCCACTTAACCACTGAGCTATCAATGAAATGTATTTAGCAGAAAAACAAACCTAATTATAAGTCTCTTATAAGCTCTACGTATGCAGTAAAGGTGCGCATGTTAAGTTTTTTGCTCTTGAATGTTTTCAGAATAAATTGTTTTACTAAAAAATATTGAAATAAGGAATAGGTATATAAATAATTGGTGTGAAATAGATAATATGTAGGTTTGGTATAGATATGTAGGTTTGGTAAAGATCTAGAAAGCTAGGATATGTAAAGAAAAAGTATAGAAGTTAGTCTCTGTAATTTAGCTGAGATTGGGCCCGATCTCAGCTAGTTCATTAAGAATTGCACACAAAAAAAAAGCCTTAATGTTAACTAAAGAAGCTGTGTTTTTTTCAGCAATTGAAATAAACGTAACCTAATAAGAATTTTTAATTTGATCTATGTAGATAATATACAATAAATAAAAAAATAAAAAAAAACTTAGAAAAAAATATATACAAAAACAAAAATAATGTTATAACAATATGCAAAAAAAAAAATATGTAAACCATAAAAGTTGAATTGAGCAATCAATATAACCTGTTTCTTGATAAGTTATTATATTCATTCATGATATCATCCATCCAAGATTCTTTGACCAGATCTTTTACAGTTTGATCATAAATTGTTGGATTGCTACTGCTCAAAGATGATTGTTGCAAGATATTAGGTGAGTTCTTTTGAAAATCTATAAAGATCAAAAATAAATCTTAATAAAATACAACCACTAAAATTCACTGCACTACAAAGTCTCTATTACTATTATTCAATATAATTCATTATTAAACAGCGTTAGTTATCAATCAATAAAAGCATGCTACAACTTTCTTAAACCTTCAAAAAAAAAATTGCCATTAATTAAAAAAATAATTAGAAAAAAAAAACAATTTTACTTGGTGAGCTAGTTGGAGTGACAGTAGGAGTACAAGATCCAGCCAAATTGAAAACATAAGTCACATAAGATGACAAGAGATTGGAATGACCATGTTTATTTTGTGAACAGTTTGGTAGTTCATGGACGCGATACACAATTTCAGTTAAAGCTTCAAATGCACACTGTGATACATTCACTGTAAAAATATATACATATACAAACATACATGCATACATACATATATACATGAAGAAAAACAAATTTTATTAGTATTTGCAATCCAGGAATATTAATTACACAGGATTATTATTTAACTCATTAACTGTTGATGATTGCATCTGCTAAACCAAACTTTTAAAAAACAACGTTGACGTTAATATTCACAAATATTTAAGGCAGTGGCACTTAAAACGTACAATAAAACTCAAAAATGACAGAATCTCAGGATCTCAGAATTTAGTGAGTGACTTTTTTTGTTTTATTTTGATGTAAATAATGGCACAAATACCTCTTTTGAAGTAGATGATGATACTGTAAATAGTTGATTTTTAAACAGATGAAACAGATTATGTGATTGCTGAATAACAAGTCAAGTGAATGAGTTAGAGATTCTTAAGTTAATGGAATTAGAGATGATAGATTCTTTAAGCGACCATAATAGAACTTGTGGAAAAGAGAAAGAGAGGCAACTTTATGATGATGCAAGAAAGGGTCAAGCTTAGAAAATAAATCAGATCCAACTACATTTATATTGTGTTTTTGTACCTTGTATAAAAGAAAAAGAACATCATTAAAAGTACAAGCACATATATGACAACAGTATTTCATGCAGGAGCTAATAAAAGATTAGTAGAGGTAGAGAGTCAGAACTAAGATATAAGCAAGATAAAGAGAAGCACCTTAGCAAATGCTAATTTGACAATTGATTATATATATAGTTTTCATGAGAGGTCAGTAGTGAATAATAATTCAAGTGAGAGGGGAGCACTCAGTTGAAGGGTTGTCATTCATCAACCCTCGGAATTAGGGTCGGCATTTGGCAATGCCAACCTAACTGCTGACCTGAAAGTGTTTGAGGTCGGCAAAAAATTACAGACCTCGATTCTATGTTTATGGTCAGACCTTTGTATCAAATAATTTTTGCCAACCTGATGCCGACCTCAAAAAAACTGAGGTCAGCAAATTATTGCCAACAACATTTTTCCTAATTCCGAGGGTTGCATTCATTATTATAGGAATGTCAGCAGTATTGCAACAGATGTTTTTAGTAAATAAATGAGTTAGGCTGAAGTTTAAATTTACAAGCCATTGAAAGCCCCAATCTGTTGAAGTGAGACCAGATTAAAGATTTTTTATTGGTTTTATTGGCCTTTAAGGATAACTCTAATAAAACAGTTTGAAAAAAATGATTTGATAATTTCAAAAACCTTCCTAGATACACCATATGAAGCAAGCTTGTGAAGAAGACCAGCATGCCAACAGCCCTAGTCACAACAGTTAGCAAGTCAGCTGTAGAGTGAGAGTATCAAAATCCGTATTGATTGTCTAAAAATAAGTTTTTTGCCTCAAGGTGGGATGTGAAAAACTTGTTGAACAAAGACTCTAAAACCTTGCTAATAACAGATATAAAACTGATCTGACAATAGTTGGAGTAACCAAAATTGAAATCACAGATAGCTTATATTATTAACACTTATTAAATAGTTTAGAGAAAATTGAAGAAACTTTTGGAGAACACTTTAGTAGGACTATAACAGAAATGTTGTCAGGACCACAAGCCGTAAAAGAATTTAATTGACTCATAGAAGAACTTAATAAGATTCAAGAATTATATTAGAAAAATTAGTTCTTTGCAAACAGTTCTGCCTTATCCTTGGGAAAGGCATTAAGATCAGTTGCATAAATAAGAGATGGTGTTAAACCAAAAAGTCTGTAGAGTAGGCCGGATCATAAGTTAAAAAAATTTGGAAAATTTCTTCGAGAATTTCCAGTAATTGGCTCTCAAATACGCTGAATGCAATGCTGCAAACCGTTTTTTGCTACTACTTTGCTATACTTTGCATTTTTACCTTTGAAGTTTTCAAATAAATTAACTTAAAAACGCTCATTTGTTACATTATTTTTTGATTGAATGTATAATAAAATTCAAATTATTTGAACAGTCAAAACAATATATTATTAGCAAACGTTGATTAGAAACTATACTTAAATGTTCTTAAATTCAGATTTTGTGTCAAAATGAGGCATCAACTTGCGGCGCTCCAGTTGAACGCGAATATAGCCATCACGATTTTCATGACCATAAACTTTGGATGCTGATTCAGTCACAATTTTAATCACACGTTCAACACTTTGATTGTGACATGGAAATGGCTCAATGTCAATAACTATGTCTTCAACTGACGAAAGCCATGCCAATATTTGTACAGTTGGAATATGTTTTGTCAGAACAGGTTCCAAGCGGGGCTGTGTTTGCCAGTCAATCAGTTCTTCATAACTAGTCGCTTGAAATCGTATCTCAGGGAGTTGAAATTTTCGATTTGGTATGTCATCTTCATGAGCACGAAGAATTCTCTTCAACGCAAGCTTACGGATCACTTGACGGTTGTCTTTGAGTATAGCCATAATAATGCTCTCGATATGAGCCGGGTAGCTATTGCGCTTCAAAACTTGCTGAACAATTATTCGATAACGCACAGGAAGAAATCGTGATGTTTCTATCATTTTATAATAGTGTGGAGCAGCACTCCAGCAGTTTGAATGTTTCTTAATGTCAAACCAAACAACCGCATATGAATTCACAATAAATTTAGCCAAAAGTATTAGTTCATTTGATGGATCTTCAGTAGATATATAGAGGCGTAGAACACGGTTTGCTAGTGTCAACCACCTTGCATGGTTTAGTTGCCCAGGTGTTCTAGATTTAAATCTATCTGGTACAACACCTGTCTTCACCGCATTAACAATTTCGAAAAAGTACAGTTGATCACTGCTTAACAACTGCTTATCGCATATAATAGGTTCACCAACAATTATGGCAAAGCTGACTATGGGTTTCTGAACAGACATTGAAATAGACTTGCCAATTGGTCCATTTAATGAATGGGGTCTAGTTGTTGCACCATCTAAGGAGTGAAAAAGATGTCGCAAAGGAAGCTCGTTCAGATGTAAAAGACAAATGGACCAGTGCAGTGGTCGACCAAGTTCAATTTCCATTCTGCGTATAACTCCATTGTTTAAACCAGTATTAACGTTAGTTGAATCAGAACCAATACAAACAAGGTTCGTGCAGTCAACAGTATCAATTATTGAATCTGCAATGGATTTGGCTGATCCACTTGTTGGCGTACAATGATCAACATACTTTGAATTTGGCTCCGATAAAATGGAAATATGTTTCTCAGAAATCACAGTCTGCCTATCCCCCTCAAGTTTTAAAGTCTGATCTTTCCTTCCATCAAAATACAATCCAGTAATTCTACAATCAGCATTTTTACAGGATGTTCTCAGTAGTTTTCGTTCTCTGCGAATTTTATTCCGATCCACTGGCCCCATATGTTCTATACCAAAATCAACCAGAGTTGCTGATACAATCGCGGCAACTGCTCTATCTGATATGTCAAAACCATCTGCTTGTAGAGCAATATTTGTTAAACAACGGTTTTTCAGACAAATAGATGTGACTTTGGTATCGACATCTGATACGGAAGGGGAATAAGTTTCGGTGTCAGAATTGTTGTCTGTTTCATTATCTGATTAATTATCAGATGCTTCAACGACTCTGGCACACTTAACTGCAGTCTCTTCTTTTGATAATGAAACAGATTTTCGTTTTAAACGCCTTTCAGCACGTGCGGATTCCTTCTTGTCGATTCCAGCTATTCTGCCAACACGGATAGTGCGTTGATCAGTTAGGAAGTCATGCTCAATTGCTGGCACCTTCAGAACAATTGGACAGCAACAAGACGAAAGTTCTTTGCATTTACACGAACAAATGTCAAACAATGTGTCAAGATCTTTTTCTATTTCATCTTGTTTGACTGTTGCAGACTTTGATCGAATCACTTTCTGAACATTGCCAATGTACTTCTCCAGCTGTAATTCTATGCCTCGAAGACTTATAGTAGGAACTGATGCTTTAATCCATATCTGAGAAAGTTTTTCTGCTAGTCTCTTACAAGCAGACCGTAGTGGTTCAGTTTCATAATTCTTCTCAGACAAGTATGCTTTGCCTACTTGCTTGTGGGTTGGCAAGCAAAAATTGGGTAATTCACGACCTTCTCCAAAAAGTATATGACGATTCTTTGAAGCTTTAGATCTTGAAATCATTATTGTTTTACAATTTTATAACATATCAGAATTTCAGTTAATTTCTAAAAATACAAGATGAGACGGATAAATTCTGCAAACAGTTGATAAAAGCAGAAATTAATAAACAATCATAGAAAAATAGAATAATATAATAATAATAATATAATAATATAAAGTTATAATAGCGTTGGAGTTAATCATATCATTAGGGTTAATTTAGTTAGGTAGGTATAGGTTTGGTTCAATTTCATAACCTTGGGATTATATCTAGTATTAGGGTTAAATGCATGTTTCAGCTAATGCATGTACTAAAGTAAATATACTTAGCATATAAAACCTTAAAACTTAAAAATGCAAAGTATAATCAATTCTTTAGAAATATTTTTTTTTTTGTAAATATTAAACAACACTATATCACGCCACTTTTCACAAATTCTAAAAAAAATTAATTTTTATGATCCGACCTAGAGCCTAACTTCTGACTTTTTACGAATCAATTATTTATATATATGTATATATATATATATATATATATATATATATATATATATATATATATATATATATATATATATATATATATATACACACACACACATATATATATATATATATATATATATATAAATATAAAAATATATAAATATAAATATATATATATATATATATATATATATATATATATATATATATATATATATATATATATATATATATATATATAATTGATTTATATATATAAGTGATATATATATATACATATATATATATATATATATAATATATATATATATATATATATATATATATATATATATATATATATATATATATATATATATATATATATATATATATATATATATATATATATATATATATACTCTTGCATGTCTCTTGCGTGGCATCAAAAAAAATTTCCCATAAACTGTAGTTTTAAAGAGCGTGTTAATAAACCAGACCAGAAAAAGTTTTAAAAATTTAAAAATTAATTTTTTTTTTTTAATTGATAGACTGCCTGGCCAAACCAAACCCTCAGTCGATGTAGCAGCACTCTCTTGCGAGTCAGGCTATTTGTCAGTCGTTGTAGCAGCACTCCCTTGCGAGTCAGGCTATTTGTCAGTCGATGTAGCAGCATTCCCTTGCGAGTCAGGCTATTTGTCAGTCAATGTAGCAGCACTCCGTTGCGAGTCAGGCTATTTGTCAGTCGATGTAGCAGCACTCCGTTGCGAGTCAGGCTATAAGATAGTCGATGTAGCAACATTTACGCATGTTTTAAAAATGTTTTTTATTAAATCAATAACAAAAACACCACTAATTAAAAAAAACTTTCTAGTTGTTATAATTGCGGTTTTTTAAAAAATTTTTAAAAAACAATTAAATTTAATGTACTTCTGCATAAATTAATTGCTTTGACATTTCGATGACAATCAAAAACAGCTTAAGAGACGAGGTAATTAAAATTGTAGTCGTAAGAGACTTTTTTTATATTAAAACGCTCTTTCGACTACACTATAAGGGTATATATATATATATATATATATATATATATATATATATATATATATATATATATATATATATATATATATATATATATATATATATATATATATATATATATAATTGATTTATATATATAATTGATATATATATATATATATATATATATATATATATATATATATATATATATATATATATATATATTTATATAATTGATATATATATAACTGATATATATATATATATAACTGATATATATATATATATATATATATATATATATATATATATATATATATATATATTTCTTGCACTTTTTACAATAATAATAATAAAATTTGTTGGTCTTAGTTTCGTTAAAAACCAAGGAGTAGAATGACGCTTGACTTGTAATCAAAAGAAGGAATAAAATCTTTCATTCCTACTTGGATCCAGGAGTTTACCTAGGAGGCGCATTTATCAGTGGAGAGTGAAAAGTTATCAACCCAAGAATCGTCATGAAGAAAATCAAAAAAAGAATCCGTCGGCTTTTGGGCACTAGTAAGTAGTGTTATGAAAAGGAGAGTTCAAAAAAGGAGTACAAGATGAAAGATTTATAGAGACCATTGCATGGTCAGAACTACTTAAGAGAGAAAAAAAAACTGAATGCAAGTTAGGGTCAGAGACAAGTCACAAATCAAATAGTGATTAGGATTGTCAGGAAAACAAATCACAAAGTGAAGTAAGAGATTAAGAAATGCAGATGTTACAAGCTTTAGTGCCAGTAAGGTTAGTGGTGATAGAGCCAAGTCATTCAGTGTGATGAGCATTAAAGTCATCAATAATAACAATATTGTTGGAAGTAAAGAGAAAGGGCATGGTCAATTTGATCAGAAATTATATCTAAAAAAGTACAGTCTTGATAATGTAGAGAACAATAAAGAACAAAGAGGAAAGTGATAGAGTGAAGAGGTGCTAAGGTGATAATCATACTGTTTGTATTATCATACAAACAGTGTGATTATCATACAAAAAAAAACAATTCTAATATGTACCAAAATTGAACTTTGTTAGTACAAAAATTTTGGATTGTTTTGAACTTAGTACAAAAACTCTGATTTGTTAGTTCAAAAATTTTGGACTTTGTTTTTTCTTTTTAAAAAAATGTTTGAATGTAAAAAAGGTTTGCAAAAAAATCTTTATTTATCTTATTTTCTGTCATCTTCTTTTAAAGAACTTAAAACTTTGATTCCTCTTAGTAATATTATTCAAAAACAAAAAAGAAAATGGTAAAAAAATATATATATATATTAATTTTTTTATTTTTTTATTAAATGATGATAATTTCAGTCTTGCTTAATTAGAGAGGACATTAAGGACATTAAAGAAAAACATTAAGGAAAAACTCACCGGCAGTTCCTGAAAAACTTGTTGGCTTTACGAGCAACATAAAAAGCTTGTCAATAATATGGTAGAGAAACTTTATTAAAGGTTCATTGTGACATTTTTCTAAATCCTTTACAGTTCTACGAAGATTTTTTTCAAGACTATTGTCAATATTTTTAAAGCTTGATCTTCCTTCTAAGTAATGACAAAGTTGAAAAAAGCGGTGAAGATATATTTCCTGAAATAAAAAGAATTAACGATAAACAACAATTTTTATTCTAATAACTCTTAACCATCAATAAGTAAATATAATAGTATTAAACAATTTAAGTATTTATAATAGGATTAAAAAACAGGTAATTTTTATAAATTTGATAAATAAAAAAAATTCGAAGAAATTTATTTTTTAGGATTATCATTTTTTATTGTGAAAAATTGAGGCAATTTTAGTAACTTATTTATTTAAAATATTTTTGAGGTTTTGAAAAACAGAGAAGTTTCTTCTTAAAAAGGTTATTTTCTATTTGTACATAACAATTTTTTAAAAAGCAATAAAACAGTTGACAGAAGGAAAAAAACTGAAAATTTTTATGAAAAACTATGAAGATGCAAGAGAATTCCAAAGCACCAATACTTGAAGAAAAAACACAAGTTATAAGTTTAAGATTTTTAGGTTTATGATGGAACAGTTTTCATTATAAAGATGCAACTAAACTAAATGAGTTTTGATTAATGGAATACATATAAGGACAAATAAGAGATCTAATAAGGTAGAGATGGGAAACAGGATTAAAAAAGTGATGAGCAATATAAAGAGAGACAAAGTTAGAAAATGCAAACTGTATACATGTATTTTATTTTGTAGTCAGTGAAAGATAATCCAAGAAGATATAAGAATTTTCAAAGTAAATTAACTGATTGGGTGAATAATTTGGAACTATCTGGAATCATCCAGAATTTCAGTGAACTTTGAGTTTGAAACCATAGATGCAATTTTCTAGCAGGCAGGAAAACAGGGTTCTAAAGAAACTAATCACTTTTTAAATAGTTGATAGACTAATGAGGAGAATATATATATATATATATATATATATATATATATATATATATATATATATATATATATATATATATATACATATATATATATATACATACATACATACATACATACATACATATACATACATACATACATACATACATACATACATACATACATACATACATACATACATACATACATACATACATACATACATACATACATACATACATACATCAGTGATCATCCAGGTCATTTTTTAAAAATCCGGAAAATATAGTTTATGTAAAATATCCGGAAAAATCCGGAACATATTTTCCCTTACTATTCTCCTAATTTTGCTCTCAGCTGGTAGGTTTTAGAATTTTTATAGACATTTTTGACATTTTTTTTATGGCTGATTACTGAAAACGAAAAAAGAATATACATTAAAACAAATATTATATAAACTTGAATCTATGAGAAAACATTTAGGATATCCGGAAAAACTATATTTTGAGAAAAAGATCCGGAATTCCGGAAATATCCAGAAAAAGATATTCCCTGATATATACATACATACATACATACATACATACATACATACATACATACATACATACATACATACATACATACATATATACATATACATAGTTAGAGATTTTCTAAAAGTTTCAAAAACTTAATATCTGAGACAAAATTGCAAATTAAGTTATGCAACAATAATAAACTTAAGTGGATTATTGTCATTACCTCATTGCATTGATTTCTTGCAATGAACTGATTATTTACAATGATATCTTTCACAAAAACAATTCTCTCCAAAAGGTTTTGTGAAATAAAATTATTATGATTAAAAACAGTAGATGCACAAGAGAAACCCATCAGGTAGACTTAAGAGGAGAGGTTATTTTTTGTGGACAGGTAAAAGGCATCAGTCTTGAATCTTGCAAGAACAGATAAAAAGTTACTTTAAAGACCAAAATTTAGTATTTTTGAATGATATAACTGAATAATAATGGTTTACTTTTGAATAATAACTGGTATTACATGCAGGAAATAATTTTACACAGGATACATCTATGCCAGTTTATATGATGGAAAAGGGGTATAAGGCCAGTCAACAGAAATTTTCTGTTGAACAGCTTCACATATTCCAAAAGTCTATACCTTGAGGCCTTCTACAAAAAAAGTAGCTGCATGCTGTTAAAATCTGCCCAAGAAAGTTTTTTGTGACATTATCTCTAGCTTAATTCAATCAAAAGCTTGACAGTAAGCATTAATTTAAATGAGATTTAATGTCTCTTAGCTTTTGTCTAGAAATGTAATTTCTACAAAGCAACAGGACAGCAAAGGCAGCAGAACTATTAAAACTTTACTTGATATTTTTAAGAAACATTGAATGTTAGTCATAACTTCAACAACCATCTTTATCTCTAAAAGAAATATTAAAATAATATTCATAATTTTATATCATATTCTAAAACCTTTAGGCATCATTAAATGTCATAGCTTTCCTTCTCTTCTGGAGTCATCAAATGCCTTAAATTAAAATCTAATGCATATAATCAATGCATATAATATATGCATTTATACTCGTATAATGCGTATATACTCAATAACTATTGAGTTAGTATCTGATCATGTTGCAATGCCCATGGTTCTTCATGTGTGTAAAAGATCAGGTTTCCGAAATACCCATCTTCTTACTTAAATATGAACATACAAATTTTCAAATTAAATATGACATTATGAAAGAGATGGTTTAACAATTAACTTTTGCAATTTTTTGTAAAATGATTCAACAAATAACTTTAGGAAAAAATTCATTCAACTAAAGTTTTTTCAAGTTCCCACTTATAACATTACATCTCCAGTAAGCTCGCACTTATAACATTATATCTCCAGTAAGCTCCCACTTATAATATATCTCCAGTAAGTCCCCACTTATAACATTATATCTCCAGTAAGTTCCCACTTATAACATTATATCTCCAGTAAGTTCCCACTTATAACATTATATCTCCAGTAAGTTCCCACTTAAAACATCATATCTCCAGTAAGTTTACACTTATAACATTATATCTCCAGTAAACTTAAATGTTCTATTTTACCATTAGAACTACCTCAAAAATTCCTTTCAAATCTTAGTGAATGACAAAGTGAGAAGCAAAAAAATTATCTAAATTATGATTTTCTTTTCATCAACTTTTATTTTTCATTTTTTTGCAGTGTAATTATTATCTAATTGACATAATTTTTTTTTTTTATACCAAACACTAAAATTCTGTTTATATTAAACACTAATAATAATCTAATCTATTATCTAATTGACTTAATCTAATGATTATTATTAGTGTTTGGTAAAAAAAAAGTTTAAACCTGATATCTTTCTATTAATGTTGCAAGATGTTTCTTTTCATATCAAATTTTCTTACACCTTTTTCTCTACAAGGCAAATAGATGGAGAGTGTTTAACCTTACTATTTATTTGAGCTAACTGAACTTTTATCATTGACTCAGGGGTAATAAATAAGTTGTTAGCATATCATACTATCTGTCATCTTTTTTTAAATTTAAATATTCCTCCTTTTACATATAAATATAATGTATTAAGAACAATATATGCTTTATTATCTACTTTTTAATACTTATCTATTTTAACTATTTCTATTTATTTGTTATAACTTATATATATTATAGTAATAATTTAAAAAAAAATTAACTTTAATTGAAATCATTTTCCAAGTGCAATCACAAAACTAAAACAGTTTTCCAAGTTTTCATAAAATGTAAATTCTTTTTAGTTATGAATGAATAAAAAATTTGCATTAATTCATTTGATAGTATTTAGTTTTTACTGATAATTTTTTGATTATTTTGAAAAATGTTGGTTTCAGAAGAATTTAATTTTTTTGAAAAAAGTTCCAGAAGAATGATAATAAAAAATATTGTTATAAAAAGCAAGAAAGCAGTTAAGAGAAGACATAATTAACAAATAATCTATTAACTAATTATAATTAATTGATAGAAGAAATAGTTGATCAATATAACTTGTTCTAGTCGATTGCAGATTTAAGGTATTATGTCATAAAAACTGAATTATGAAATTTGGTATATTAAAGCCGTAACCTTTTGAAAAGGTTAACTAAACTTGTTCATCAACTTTTTATTTTTCATATATACATACAGCTTTGCTATGAATAACATACTTAAATAACTAAAAATAACTAAAGAAAACTAATAACAACCTGAGTATGAAGAGATGTTTCTGCACGGACAGCACAAGTAAAAATTCCTTTATGACCATCAACCCATTTCATATTTGGAAGAGGGGTCTAAACATTTTTTAAATATAATAGCAAAGAAGTTTAAAGTTAAATTTAACAGATAAATAAACATTAATTAAAAAATGGAACATTTTAAACACATATCAACACATAATAATAAAAAAAGCTCTGCATAATAACATAAAATCACAGAATTTGAATGAGATTTAATTTCGATAGCACTTGAAATAAATGAGATTTAATTTCGATAGCACAAAAGCTTTCTCTGAAATTCTCAATAATTCTCAAAATAAATTCTTTATAATTCTTATATGTTTAAAAAATAAAATCATAAGTATTAACAAATTGTTAATAGATAACACTGCCCCTCCCCACATACACACCACTTCCTTTATCCTATGACAACTACTACCCACTTCTGCCCATAAAAGTGCTAAAGCAAATTTTAAAACTCTGTAAATGTGTAAATCACACAACTTTACTAAAGACAATTACACACACAAATGCACACATACATCTGTAGATAGTATACTGTAGCCGCTCGGAAGTTTTTCAATAGCCACTGGTAGATTAAATTCACCCAAATGCAATCGACCATCTTTCAATAAAGGCACCCACTAAAATATATATATGCAATGAAAAAAAATTAAATTAAAATTTTTAATAAACAAAATAAACTGAAAATATATTTACACAAGTAAAAAAAATATATATAAATAACAAAAAATAAAAAAAATTAAATTTAAACTAAACTAATAAAACTAAAATTATAAGTAATAAAAAAAATAAAAAAAGTCAACTAAATCGACAAAAAATAATCTTTAAAAAAGATGAATACAGTGAATCCCACAGGTGTTGCTTCAAGAGATCCATTGGTGTCTGATTTAAAACTGATATGATAAAATGTAAACAACAAATGATGTCTGTCATCAAGATTCATTGGAAGTTTAATCTTCACTTCTTCATAAAAGAAGGGATATCTATTTTAGTAAAAATTTGCTGATAAATGTCATTCATTCATTAAAGATGTGAATGAAAAAATAAATTCAATTTATTTTAACCAGAATAAATTTTTATAATTCATATTAAAATAAAATAAACAAACATAACAAATTAACAATGTATAATTAAAACAAGAAAAAAAGTATGAAGTATGTTTATATTTCATGAAACATATCTATGAAATAAGTATTACAACAAATGTAAAAAATTAAAAAAATACTTGTTGTGATAAACAATTGGAGTATAACATTCTGTAACAAACTCTTTACCACAAGATTTACCATATATATTCTAAATAGTAAAAATTTAAATATTCATAAGATATTAAAAGAAATACAATATGTATATAATAACTGTTTAAATAATAAATATATTCTTAAAAACTCTTGAAGAAATCCCCCAAATGCTGTAAAGAGTTTTAAACTTGCAAAACAATGATTTTTATACAAGTATTAAAAATTTTATAGAATTTTGTATATAAGGTATACATGGCTTTAAAAAAAAAAATTTTAAGTCATGTTGGGCCTCAAAAGAAGCAAAATTTTATAGAGATTTCACACTTTATTTACTTTTGGAGAGAAATGTTTTGGGTAATATATGGCACCCACCATGTTGTTAGGTTTCTTAGTAAGGGAACTTTTTTAAAAATTGAACAAAATAAATGTGATTTTTTAAATCAGTGTTAAAATGTTCATTTACTACTGTCCAAAAATTTATTTTTTTGTCATAACCCTAACCTAAACTGTAGCTACTGTTGTAAATCACAAAAAATATTTTATTTTTTACAATATTTTACCAAAACATGTTAAAAATATTAAAACATGTTAACAAGTCATATTTTAAACACCTAACTTCAAGTGAGTCTAACCCAAGCAGCTGTAGTTAATCATACAGCTGTAGTCAATAAGTCACATTTTAAAGATTCTTAATTTTTTATGTGAATTGTTTTTGACTTGTGAATTGATAACTCTAACACTGTTTTAATCGATCCAATTTGGTGACAATCAAACTGGAGAACTATTTTGATACATCGAATACATAGAATCATTTTTTTTTTATAGAGAATGTTTTTTTCAGAAATTCTTTTAAATATAGTCAACAAAGCCATTTCTTATTTGTAGCTTTTATTTTAAATTTAGTCAACAAAGCCATTGCTTATTTGTAGTTTTTATTTAAGTAATAGTTGTTTCTTGGAAACTTGTTCATTATTTTTCAAATAATTTGTATTAATTTTTTTGGTGTCTTTTCTGGAATTGTTGGTGTTTTTTTGGTGAAATATATTTAGTTGGTCTATCAATAGTGTATTTAGAAACATTGTTACCATCCATTAGTTTAATAAAACATCATGTTTTAATTCATAGATTCCCAGATAACACAATAATAAGTTATAAAATTGATCATATATAGATAGTGAAAGCTCAAGGATACAAGAATTGCAAGTTTTAAAGCATTTTAAAATTAAATATGCTCTCGAGTTGAATTAAAGAAAGATATTAGCATTATACTTTTTGTAGTTAAGGTGTTAGAGTCTATAGTCACTCCTAGATTTTTTGGGTAGGAAGACCAAGCTTAAGTAAAAATATAATGAAAGAGGTGCCACCATGTGCAAAACACTCACTGCAAGCAATTGTTAGTTGCCACATTTCTCCACAGAGTACAAGCCTATTTAGAGCAACAGGTAAATCTTGACTATGTCATGATATGAACTATATAACTTAATAGTATCTTAAAATATGCAAAACTAGGTTTGGTAGAGAGTTTTGGATCTAATCTAATAAAATTTATTTCATATTATATGATGCAACTTTAACTTATATTTTGGAATGAGAGATGGAGTCAACATAAAAGGTTTGTTCAGGAGACCATGTTGATTAGGATCATACCATATGTTGAGTTTTTGTTAAAAATTAATACACTGTTTAGTTTATTATTAACACAATTAAATAACTTCCTTTAAGCTCAACCCTTTCTGCAAGGCTTTTTTGAATTTAAATTTAATACTTGTGTATTTATTGTATGTTGTGTTTGTGTAGAATGCTTTTAGTAATTGAAAATATTTTCCATAAAAATGCTTTACAGTTAAACACTTTTAAAAAAAAATTGAAAAAAAAAATGATTAGAGAAGATGTTCCAATAATCTTAAATAAAACATAGGGCCAAGCGCTATTTGATAATTAAAGCTAAGTCATAAAAAGATTTAGTTTTCTCCAGCTGTTTAAAATCATTTTTATTGAGAAATGGACTATAGGATGGTCACTGGTGTTTAATAACAAACATAAGACTAAACAGAGAAAAACTATTTGAACAGACATCTAAAATATTCTTTTTACATGTGGGTTCATGAACGAATTGATAAAAACCAAGACTATTGACTAAATCTAAAAAAGACTATGGAAATAAAAAATTTTATATTTGCTGAAAAATCAATTTAAATTAGTTTTCTACCATTAAACTAGTGATAGAATAACAAGAACATATCTAGCATTATTACTTTTCTATTTTCATTATCTAGCATTATTACTTTTCTATTTTCATTTTCTAGCATTATTATTTTTCTATTTTTATAAGTATCATTAAGTGATGCTTATGAAAAAAAAAAAAAAACATAAAATTAAATTAAAATTATAAATTCAATTATTGTTAATTTAAAGATTGAAAATTTCATTAAACAAAAAGTAAAAAACACAAATAAAATCTGCATCTTTGCTCAGTATCCTTATGAAAATTTGACAAAGTACAAAAAGAAAATGATTGTTTTTCATCATAATGAAATTAATTTATTACATTAAGCTACAAATTAAAAAGTATTTTGTTTCATATAAACTTTTAGCAAAAAAAAAATTATTTATTGTATCTCTATGGTACAAAACAAAACTTTTTTCATAACAAAAAACTCTTGTTAAAATAGTTTATTATATACTTTAAATTTGAAACAAATAAAATATTATTAATAAAATATATATTAATTTCTGCTTATAAAGTGGATGGTGCGTACAATAAGTTCTTGTAAAACAATGTTTTATAAGAGCTTACTGTTAGAACATACTGTACACACTTTAGCTACATTTATATAAAATTCTTTCTAGTAAAACTAAATATTTTGGTTAAACACTGATTTTTATTGTTTCTTTTTTAGATCGTTTGTCAATGAAACAACAAAATATTGGTTTATTTGATGAAATGCAGTTTGCATCACAAAAAAACTTATCCAAAAGTGTTAGTTTGTCCACTTTGGAGACAGACACGGTCATCATATGTATACAGCAGTTACATTGTCACTGTTGCATAAGAACAGTATAGTAGCTGAGAAAACAAAAACAGATTTAAGTACCAGCTGATGGGTAGTAAACAACCAGGGCCCCAGCCCCAGCTAAAAAAATGACTTTTTGCAAATCCTGCCCCAGGCCCCAGCAAAATTGTAAGATTTAGCAGATTTAATAGGCAGGAAAATAAATCTAAATAAAATAAATAATTATTCTTTATATATTATAATTTTATACTTACATTAACTATTTATTAAATTCTGGCATATATATATGCCAGTATTTAATAAATAGGAGCAGTTACAGTAAAGTATGCAATTTGTTGAATAAGAAGCCAAGCAAGAATGAGTTTATTGTAATAGAGATGAAAGCTCATTTGAGCATTGAACATGATTAGAGAAACAGCATATAAAAGGAAGGCTAAAGCCTTCTGCTGATGATGATGATGACCATGATGATGATGACCATGATGATGATTATGATTATGATGATGTACTTTTAGATGTATAAATGTTTATGCAGCCCCGGTCACAAGTCTGGCCCTGGCTATATTTTATCAAACCGGCCCCAGCCCCATTCAAGTATCAACCCCGGTCATTTACTACTGATGGGATAGATATGATTATGTGCAATAACCACAACATCAACAGTCATCAAAATGAGTCAAATTGGTATATAAGAAATACACCTTTAATAGTTATAAAGCTTTTTTTTTTTTGTGTTATTACATTAAATAATTAATTACTAATTATTAAATATTAATTAAAAACATCAACAAATATTATATAACAAATACTACTAATTAAATAAGTATTAATTAAAAACATCAACAAATGAGTCATAATATTTCTCTTAATTAAAATGTCAGTAAAACAGTTATAAAAAAGAAAAAAAAATTATCTCCAAAATCCTTCTGCATGGTTACTTTCAACTGCTAAAGCATCTGAATCTAGATGAAACTACTGTTTATATGGTCATAAAATGATATAAGAGCTCTTAATCTATTGAGTGAGTAAAAGGATCTGGAAGAAACAGTGGTTTTAAGGATAAGAAAGTATAAATTAGTATTTGAAAATCATAAGTTTGAGATTCCCATTGAAAATACATGGTTTTGAGATTTCCATAAAAAAGCCAGAGTTTCTCAATGGAAAACCCACAAATTGCTGGTCAAAAATAAATATAAGTATACAGATAAATATACATATTTAATATATAATTTAGTATAAATATACATATTTTCATGCTGGTCAAAAAAAGCATGTTAGTTCTTCAAGATCTTTTGATGAAATCATTACATTTTTTTAAATCTCATAATATTTTAATTAATTTCTAACAGAAATGTTACAATTTCAAGTTTTATTGAGGCATTAAACTTCGGATAAGCAATCACTGATTAAAACCTGAGCTTGAAAACTTTATGACATAGTGGGTACTAAATTTAATAGCTGTATAATTATAGATGACAAAACATACATCAAACGCAACTTCAAACAATTCCCAGGTCAAAAATTTTACACTTCAATAAATACCTGGCAATATCTTAATGGCATAATTGAGCATGTCTCACTAGCCCAGAATAAATAAATCTAAACACAAGTAAATCCATCCCAAAGATTTTCTTTACCATTGTTATTAAAGACTACCAAGGTATAAACATTAGTATTTAGGATATTAGAGATATCACAGGATATTAGGACAATTACAAATATAATGCAGTTTTAAAAAAATATATATTAAAAAAAGTTAAAATAGTTTTCAGTGATTATTTTAACAATAAGTAAAAAAAAAATTATTAAAAAGTAGAACCTGAGTCAACTTATAAATATTTTGAAAAAAGAAAAAAACTTGAAAAGTATTTTGAAATATAAATTATTATAATAAATATTATTTACCAATAAAGCATGAGAAGAATCTTCCCCAGCCATTAGTTGTATCTTGATTGCAATATTTCTCGCAGAACCAGATCTATTAGTAAAGTTTAATGATGTTGGGTAAACGTAAAGTGTATTCCTGAAAAAAAAGTCAGATGTCTTTATCATTTTTGCCTTATTGCATTTTTTTTAATACTAAATAATTGCATGTTTTGAATAAATATTAATTTTAATGAACACAATTCACAATTTAAATTACTTGACTTAAGAATACTCATATCACATCACAAAATCTCAAGTTTAACTGACTTATATTAAATTTAGTAGGAAGCAAACACCTTTGACACATTTTATAGAGTTTTAATTATCAGTTAATTATTTTTAAATTTTAGTGATAAAAATATATTAAATTTAAAGTGATAAAAATATATTTTCTTTAATTTTCATTTATCTTGATGCTTTTGATTCCTTTTTTTTTTTAAATGAAAAAAATGAACCTACAGCAATTTTAAAGAAAGCATTTATCTATACTGAAAACATAAATTCACTACACTCAAAATATTTTTTATCCACACAAAAAATGAAAAAAACATTAGTAAAAGATAACTCTGTATAAAAACATTAAATCAACAAAATAATTAAAAGAATAAATTAAAGGATTAAAATTAAAGGATTAAAATTAAACCTATATGTAACATATGGAACAAAAACTTCTTTTGGCGCAAATTCCTGAATTTCTTTTACAGGAGCTCCTTGTTTATCTGGGTATGGATTGACCTAATCAAATGATAAACAATTTTTGTTAATTTCATTAATATAACTATTAAACTACTAAATTAAAAAAAAAAAAAAAAAAAAAAAATTAATTTAATAAAAGAAAATTGAAAAATATTTATAATTAGTTAAAATGTGATTCATCAAATTTGATTCTTTTAATTTTTCAATTTTAATTTATTTGCTTATTTTTCTAAAAAACAGATTTTAAGATTTAAAAAAGCATTTCTCAAAATTGATTTCTTAAATAAATAAATTTTGATAACTTAAAACTTGAGAAAATTATTCAAAACCATTTCAACCTAATGTTTTGAACATTAGCATGATTAATATAAATTTTAATATAAAATATTATTGGGTTGTAGATGCCAATTCATAATAGAACAAATTGATCATTTAATAAGAGATTTAAGTTACTTTTTGTAAAAAAAAAAAGCATTTTCAATATAATTGTTAATAATGGAAATGACTTTCTTAACAGCCCATAATTTTAAAAAATTTTCAAAGAACAATTTTTTAAAAGCTAAATATTATAAAAAAAGTCATTCCATGCTAAGTATATCATAGAACATCTCAGATTTTGATGAAACTTGGTGGGTTCATTCATATAAATTAGAAAAACAATTTTAGCATAAAACTTTTGCAGTTCATGAGACATGATTATTTAAAATTTAAGATTTTTCAAAAACAAAAACTTCAGTAGAGAAAACATATTTTGTTCATACTTTTAAGCTCTATATTTTAAAAACAAAATTTCAAAAAACCTTTTTATTGTATACAACTCTAATCATGCTCTAGTAAAAAAAAAAAAAAAAAAAACATTATATAGTTTCAGTGGATGATTTTATTGAAGTTTGTCAACAATTAAGAAACCATCACTACATAGCCAAAATAAAACAGAATACTTGCAGCATCTAAAAATAACAATACAAAGTAATCACATCTTAATATTATTAGACTTTGTTAAAATTACAGTTTTTTAATTCATGATATTTAATTGTTTCCATTGAAACATATCAAGCAATATTGGATCCTTTTGTTATTTACTTGATTGAAGAAAAGAATATGTAAAAGTGTTTGTATAATCTCAGATCATTTGTAACTAACTCAGTTCATTGTTTCATTTATGAAGTAAGAAAACATTTAAAAGAGTTGATTTTTTTGCAACATCACATGGAAAGAGTTCTTGGGATGGTGTTGTGTTCTTTGTCAAAAGACTTGTAGCAAAGACAAGTTTATAATCACTAATTTATTCAACAGAGAAATGTATGATTGGTGTAGACAAAATATCAAAAGAATACATTTTCAATACATTACAAATGATGTAATTATATTATATTGCATAAACTATATATATTAGAAGAACATTATGCTACTTGTTCAGTAGTTCTAGGAACAAGACAGCATTATTGTTTTACATCTTTCACTACTCTGCAGATGAGAACATTGATGACAATATTTAACATCTTAACAATGCAGCTATATAATACCGATGCAATGCACCCATACAATTCTACTTCTTTTTTTATATAGTTCTGCTTCTCTTTCTTCGTGATTTTATAAAGCCATTTTTGGTGATAAAATTAATCAAGAGAGAAGTTCCTCTAAGATGAGAATGTTCTGGACAAAAATGTGAATGTTAAAAAGTAAATGGACAGGGAGGGGGAGGCTTAGGCTATTTAAAAAACTAATACATATTAAGTATAGTAGTTATTTTTTTAGTTGTTCTGTACTTAATTAAAAAAAGTAAATTTTTATTTGTTTACTTGTTGTGCACAATTAAGTAAAAAAATTTCATTTTTATTGTTTTTATTTTTACTTCATTTTTATTTTAATAAATAAAATAGAGATACACTATAAAATACACTACTCTTTATTTTATAAATAAAATAAAGAGTAATGTAGGGTATCATAACACATATATAACCATAAATGAGTTTTGCGATTTAACTCACTACAGCATCTACTATTACTATTACTAAGCATCATTGTATTGACTTAGTAGCTTCCTCATAATTACCTTTTTTTTTAATCTAAAATCACTGAAATAAAATCGATAAAATCAGTAGAAAGAAATCAGTAGAAGTTTATTATTAGAATTAGTGTTGATCCTAGGTTACCAATGATTCGAAATCAAAGTACAATTTTTTTAAGTTTTAGCCACCGTTTTTAAGAATCCATAACTTCTTACTGAATCTTTTCAGCAAAATTCTAAAAATTAAGATGACCATAATTTTGTAAATGACCTATCAAAAATTAACTTATATATTTAAAAACAATTATTTAGGCATTTTAGGAAGCCATTATGGATAAAATGTGATATTAAAAATTCAATTTCAATATGTTACTAAAGTCGTATATAATAAGTAAAATTAGTAGTTGTAATATAATAATAAAATAATAATAAAAGGTTTTCTGAAATTTTCTTTAAAAAAAATAAAGCTTAATGGTATGAACATGCTTTTGATACTCAAGATTTCTTTTTTGAAAATTTTCTCATTGATATAAACCAAACCACCAGGTTTCGTTAAAATCCAAGGTGGTCCATGTTGAAATCCTAAAACTTTGATATATTTGCCACAAAATGATTCAAAACTATTTAATAAATTAAAACATTAAAAATAACCGGTTGCAGCTCAGGTGTCAAACTGTATTTGATATTCTCTGGAGGTGGTGTAATATCCATCTTTAAAATTCCTAAATTAAAACATTTTTTTTTAATTTTAAAATTTCAATACTCTTTGATTTTTAATGATATCAAATTACTTTTTTGTACCTGCACTATTACTATTTTGTACCTGCTATTTGTATTTAATAATTTAATATCACATATATCATTATAACAATCTATATATCTCTAAAATTAAATAAAAACATCACCTAATATAATAATTTATATAATAAAATTTAGAAATAATTGTAAAAAAGAACATCATGCAGACTTTTACATTTGCACAAAATGATGGTCCTTAAGATTTGTATAAGATGATGGTCCTTTAGATTTGTGTAAAATGGTCATTAAGATTTGTACAAAATGAGGGTCTTTAAGAACAAGAATAACAGGTGTGGTTTTTAATTCTCAAGTCCAGAGAGAAAAACTATTGCTCTAACAACATAATACATTATTCATGTTAAACCATTAAAAAAAGTAACTGTCAGTTTTGTACGAAAAAAAAAAAAAAAAAAAATTAATTAGGTAGTAGAATTGCTAATTACTTAGGATTAATAGAATAGAGTAGGGTTGTTTTCTAAAGTTTAAATACTAAAACCTCAATCACTTTCTAACTTCAAAGATAGATATATTAAAGAAAAAAAAGGTACATTAATAAGAAAATTAGAGTAAAAGTCATACCTTGAATACATTTAAGCTTTTTAAGTAAAGAATTTGGTCTTCGCAGATCAGCAAGCAATTTGATTAAATCATCATCACTTAACTTTTCAGATTCCTAAAAGGAAATTTATTTATAAAAAAACTAATAAGGATTTTGAAATATTTGATAAAGATAACAATAATCAAATTAAAATACTTTTAAAGATGGTAGCAAATTTAAGAAAAAATACCTGTTTAAAGAATGTACTAACAGTTAAACAAATTGCTCTAAAATTATTTAAATCAACAACATGTTCTTCTGGTTCTCCTTGAGTACGCTCATAACGAAATGAAGGACGAGCATTGTCTGAGTTGTTTGATGGTCGACGCGTTAATGAATCACCCTGACGCCTCATGGAATTTCTAAGACTAGGAGGCCCATCAGGAGACTGTAGGAGAGCATTTCAAATATAACAATATAAAATATGCACTTGAATTTATTGTTGTTAATTAAATTAATTTTTTATACAAATACTAAAATATTCTTGATTTTGTTTAGAAAAATAACAAAGTAATTCAACCTAAATAAAATCAAAGCAAAAAATGTCTACAATCTTACATTGTTCTTGTTTCCATTATCTTTAGACAACTGTTCATTACTCCCTTGGTTATTAGTTTCTCCAACATTAGCTCCAGTAATAACATCAACCAAGTGTATAGCAGTCCATGCAAATGGCATTCTATAAGCTCCATTTTTTTCACAGAACTGTTCTGCTAGAGCTCGAGCTTTTTCCTTGACCTATTTATTAATAATATTTATTAAAATGTTATTAATAACATTTTTTAATATTAAATGTATCATGATGAGTTTTTTTTGAATATTTTTAAATTAATTGATCAACTTATCATATTTATATATTATTATAAAATCTTAACAATTATTATCATACTCTAATGCTAAATTAACTTATTTTAAAACATGCTGATTCAGCTAAAATGCTAAATCAGCATATTATATAGATGTATTTTTATCTTTATACAATATTTAAACTTATTTTTTTATATTTGATCCAAATAAAAGTTTTTTTTTTTTTTTACTTTAAACTTTAAAAAAATAAGTAGTAGAGATAAAAGATAAGATAAAATATAAAATTGTGTCTCATTTTACCAACAATAAAATCCCAATTAACCACTTGGTATAAAGACAGAAATGAAGACAATGTCATACCTTTGGATTATCTGAATCTTTCATGTATGGCTCAGCACAATCAGTAATCTCACCCTGCTGCAAAACTTTTTCTAATTTTATGACAAGACAAACTTCATTTGAAGGATAAGTAACTGAAAAAATGCATGATTTTGCTAATGTTGAAATATCAGGTTTTCCTTTTGAATGAGATGATATCATTTTTTTGTGTGAATCTTCATTCATATCAAAATGAAAGTTTTCTGATATCTAAGAATTATTAAAAAAAAAATCATTTTTAAATTTAAAATAAATATTAGTTACTTTATTATACATTATGTGAAACACTTTGATTAATTACATTAAATACATAAAAATTTTAAATTTAAAATTTTTTATTACTTTATTTAACATGTAAAAACAAAAAAAATGTGAAATCAAAAATACTTTTTTTTTCTGTTTATAATCATAGAGCGCCATGGTAGCAAATATTGGCTCAACATCTAAATCCAGTCTGGAAAATATTTAAATATACAATTTTTTTATTTTTTATTATTTACTTTATAGTTATGAACTTATTAAATTTACAAAAGTATAAAATATGAAAATAAAAATTATTTGATTTCCATGAAGACATTAATTATAGTATAGTTGCAAGAAAAATATGCCTTTTTTAAAAAAAGCAATGTTTTTTTCTAATTTTACAACTATAATTTCATCTTTATTCTAAATCTATGCTATGGACAATGAATTATAAAAATAAGTCTTGGTCATGACATTAAACTGATTCTATATAAGAACAGGTGAATTTTTTTAATCGCGGTTTAACTTATCTAGAAGAAAAAAATCTTGATACAAAATGTCCAACTTAATTGTGAGTAATCAAAGTAAGAACTTATAAACATTTGTTAATAATAGTAGTAGTATCTATAATATCTGGTAATGGTAGTATCTGAAGGCAAAAACTTGTGGCAGTATCAAAAAAAATGTCCTGATCTGCACCACAGGTTAATGCATTGTGAAAAACTGTTTCAACTCTTCTTTATCTTTCAAAATGGTGCCACACAACTTTTCTTATTTTTAAAATGATGCATGGTAACAAATTTATAAACATATGAAAGAACATTTCAGCACCCCAAGCTTTCCTACATCAATGCAGTCATGTGGTTTCTCAACATTATGTATATAATACTTTTGTAATATTTATAAAAGATAATTTAGTAAAACCAAGTCAAAAATTTAATGACATATCATTATGGCCCCCACATTCTAAAACAGGGTCCTATGCTGGGTCTGTCTGTGGGCTTTTTTTTTGTGTGAGAAAAAGTATTTTTTTTTTGCAAAATATTTTTTCTTCGAAAGTAAAAATAAGGAAGTTATTAATTAACTCCTAATCAAAACAATTAAAATGACCTGATTACTCTCAACCAAACAAGACAGTTTTCTAATTGGTGCTAAATTTGTATTTGTCAAAAAAAGTTTTTTATCAGCAGATTGTTTAAAAATGTTATTTTAAAAAAGAAATTTTATTGACAGTGTACCATAAGCTATTTTTAATGCTCTTGGCCTGTTTATTTCGTTAAAGCTAAAAACCAAAAATTAGGACCCATAAAAACACTGTCTTGATGACAGTAAAAGACACTTAAAGACTGTCTTAATGATAAAATAAAATTAGAGAAAAGTTTTCAAGACTTATTTGAAAGAGAAATTTTAAGAAATTTTATTTGAAAGAGAAATTTTAAGAAATTTTATTTGAAAGAGAAATTTTAATATTTAATAGCATTGGTAGTATAAAAGTTACAAATACTATCTTAATTGACATTTTTGTGTTTTTTCCAAAGTAAACATTTCAATGGCACCACTGAAATCAACTTGTTTGCTAAATTACTTTCAATATTCAATACGGCAAGATGACTCATGCAATCTTGACAGGTTGTGCTTCTTTGCTATGATTTCAATTAGTTTGCCAGTTAAATAATCTTTCTGCTGATGATAGTTACTTGAACTGTACAAAAGAGTTTGATTGCTAGACAGATGTTGGTAAAAATGCCTTAAAGTTGTTTGTCACAAATTAAATTCAAAAGACAAAGGGAAGAACTTTCAATACCAAAAAATGTTTTGAAAATACTTTTCAGATGAAGTATTTCACTAATTAAGTCTTCTGACGGATCTTTTTTGTATGCTTGACCGCTTTTGTAAGTTTGGCTGCTTTTAAACTTAGGTCTTCATCCTCATATTTCTTCAAACTTAAATTGGGTGAGAATAAATCATATATTGCATTGGCTTCTTCAAATTGTGTGCTCAAATCATTAATTATAAAATCCAACACTCGGTAAACTACAGAAGTTTTGAAATCTTGATCTAGTTCAGTAAAAAAAATTCTTTTTGTAGGAAATTAAGCTTGTATTCCAATAACTTCTGCAACAAATTTTGCCTTTATCTTGTTTCTGAAAGACTTTGAAGAGATAACAGTTTGTTTTTTCAACAAATACCATCAAGCAGGACTCTAAGATAACAAGCATTAGAAGCTTTCTATGCTTTCAAAAAATTATTACATTAGGATTTAATTTTGCTGCGTTGACTCCTACACAATTTAATAAATGGGCTCGGCATAGAGAAAATAAGGCAGATTGTTTTTTTGTTTTTTAAATGCGGGCATTAACACCATTTGTTTTACCACACATATTTGAACCATTGTCATAACCTTGTGAACAACAACCTTAAAGTTGTACGTTGTATTTTTCTAGAGTGGCAAGTATTTCTTCTGTTATTTTTTCTCCTGTTCATAACTCTCCTGTTCATAACTTCATAAACGCTATGAAATGCTGTTCATAACTTCTCCTGTTCATAACTTCATAAACTCTATAAAATGCTAGTTTACTTCAAATACCTTAGTGTCGGCATTTTGAGATACATACCTTAAAATAAGAATATTTTGTTCTATGAAATATCTGGAGTTGCATCAACTATCAAAAAATTGCATCTTTTCTTTTATCTGGAATAGTTTGTAGAACTTTGTCTGAACATAACTTGATAAATTCATTTTGAGAGTACCAAAACAAATAATGTGGTTTTCCCTTCATACTTTTCAATTCTAATTGACTTTGTTGTACTTTGGCAAGATGTTGCTGTGTCACTTCATCATAATTTTCAATCAATTTTAAGATCCCTAAGAAATTGCCATTATAAACATTCCCAACTGTTGTGTTCTCTCCTTGAAATTCTAAACCTCCAGATAATAAAAATAATTTGACATCTATAATCTGTTTCAGGATTGTTTGCCACTTTTTTCTCTCACATTGTATTTGGAGCTGTAATTGTCTATTCAATTACTATTAGAATTGCTTGTCAATTCAATTACTACTAGAATTGTTGAAAAGTTTGTTTTCTACTTTTTAATTTTAGACAATGTTTTCGATTCAAAAGTTTTTCTTTTCTTTTCACATTTATTTTTAATTCAAAACAATAATATTTTACTCACATTTACTATTTTTCCGGTCAGTATCACCTAAGGTGGTTACACCCTCTTTACCTCCGGGCCCAAGTGCTACAGTACCACCATCCCCCTTCCCTTGTGGGGGCCATGCATACCATAACAAATAACTGGTCATGATAAACTACTAAAACTTGAATAATTTCACCATGACAACCAAATAAAATATACTTATTTCTTTTATATTGTTATATTTTATTTAAATTTAGTCAAATTTCTAATGACTAATTATAAAAAATGACTTGTATATAATTATTCATCATTAATGAAATAAGTCATTAAAAATTTAAAATTTTTTTTCATGATAACCAAATAAATTTACTAAATTATTTTATGTTATATTTTAAATTATACTTTACATTTTATTTTTAATTCTTAACAACTAATCAATTTTATTAAACAATTAATTAATTTTATTTATCCACATTTATTTATTTTATGTATTTAATTTTTAGTAAACTACTCAAACAACAATTATTTTTTTAAACTTTATAAAAAAATTTAAAAACCTTAATGAGAATTATGTATTTTAAAATTTTTTTAGATTATTAAAAGAAATTTTTTAGTTGGGAAGTTTAAATGTAGAGTGCTTGAGTATAGAATTTTAAAAAATAGTAAAGAGTATAAAATTTTCAGTAGTGTGATTGAGCTTTTGCTCTGCCAACTTATAACAATAAACTAGCAAGATTATTTAGAATAATAATTATAACATAGATGAGTATTTGACTTTATGAAAATCTTGGAAATTTTTTTTTTTTGAAAAAAAAATATCTGGAATTTTCTGGAAAAGTAAAGGAATTTTCAAGTGAAATTCCAGAATTCGCGGAAAAAACTCACCTATGTTATAAACTGATATAATTATTAAATATTGTATTACTTTAGCTCAGTGCATCTAACAAGAATTCGTTGGCCAAAATGTTCTTGAGGAATGACAGCTGGAGTACGTGTAACAAACTGAACATCCTTTTAAAAAAAAGTTAATTTTGTTAAATATTATCATTTGATACTGATAATTATAATAATGGTGTTGGAGAAGATGATGATGATGATGATGATGATGATGATGATGATGATGATGATGATGATGATGATGGTGATGATGATGGTAATAATAAAGATGATGATGATGATGATGATGATGATAATGATGATGATGATGATGATGATGATGATGATGATGATGATGATGATGATGATGATGATGATAATGATGATGATGATGATGATGATGATGATGATGATGATGATGATGATGATGATGATGATGATGATATGATGATGATGATGATGATGATGATGATGATGGTGATGATGATGATGATGATGATGATGATGATGATGATGATGATGATGGTGATGATGATGATGATGATGAAAATAACGATCATTATCAAATTATTGTTAAAACATATTACTAAACATACATTTAAAAAGTTATAAAATACTTACTTCTGACTGCGTAAAGAAAGAAAATATTGAATCTAGTCTTTTTTTATGACGAAAAATCTCATTTTGTCGATCCATTTCTTCAAATGAAATGTCATCAAATAGTGCTTCAAGCAAAGGGTCTGGTGGGCAAGACTGCAAGTCAAAAATGCTAAGAGCAAAATGTGAGATTATAAATAACATTTTAAACTTAATTCAATTACTTGTACTTATTTTTTAAATTCAATTAAATAATATTAATGAATAATATAAATATCTTTCAATATAAACATTACAAAATAATGTTAGTAACATTTACAATATTATAAAAATATAGCAATAGCTTAAAATTAAACAGACTAATATTTTTAAACATTTATTTTGTTGTTAAAGCCATTCAAACAAAATGTATTTATAACACTTCGATCCATTAAACCTGATGTTCAACAACACTGAAACTACATTTCAGTAGATCAAATATTTTTTTATTTTATTCACAAAATATACTTATTCTTAATGCAAGTTTTTTCAATGCTTTATTGAGAGAAAAAATTTCAAAAATATATATCTATACCATTTTCTTTGTGTTATTTAATTTTATTTACAAATCCTATAACTATTTGACAATTTTTTAAAAACATAATCATTCGAGTTTTAAAAAATATATAGATTAAATATAAATAAATCTTTTAAAAGATTTATTAGAGAAATTTAAAGTGTTTATTCACATTTTTGATTATACTAAACTTATTTCTGAGTTTAATGAATCATTGGTTTCAATCTTACTTATTGCAAAAATGTAATAAGATGAACTAATGAAACAATTGAATCCTGAGATTGTGCACAATTATGGTTGCCAAAACATTCCAAACTTTTTGAATTTTATCTTACAAAACATATAGCATAACAATAACTTTCAATATAAACAAACAAAAAGATTAAAAGAGGTAAATGAACCCATGTACAGTGTGAGGGCTTTTACTTAAAGCAAATTTGATTTTGAAATCACCCAGAAGTGTGCCTTTATTAAAAAACGACATATAAAAGCCAGAAAAGAATTTTGGTATAAATATTCTAAATAGACAATTAAAAAATGGGGCACAGCTTATGCTACATTTCTTATGTGTATAAAATCAATAAAACCTGCAGCTATTTTATGATTCAATTTACCCCAAGAAAATTTATGCAATTTACCCCGTAAGAATCATGATGACTCTAATCAATGTATATAATTATAATTACATTATATAGCTTTTTCTGTTTGAAAAATAAATTTTCAACTATATTTTCTATTATTTTTTTATGGCTTTTCATATACCTTTAAGTTTATAGTAAAACCCACCAAAAAATTTGAAAACAGAAATTAGAATTTTATATAGAAAAAATAAAATTATCAAGAACTTTTGATATTTTTAATTTATTAATTTTTTTTATAGCTGACGTGTTATAATTATAGCTATATAATGTAAAAAAAATTTTGGAATAATAAATATAAAAAACATTCTTAAAAATCCATTGTTTTATTTTGCTAAAACTTGTTTTTAACTTGAATAATATTGATAATAACTGAAATATTTTTTTTTTAAATTTATTATGACTATTACTTATTTATAATTTTTTAGTAAATATATAAGAAAATATGTTTACTATACAATTTGTGCTTTTTTTTTCAAACAGCTATTAATTTGCATGCACATAAATTAAATTAATTGTACCTTCGGTAAATACTACACCATATAAATACTAAAGTTTATATAAATATGAAAGGATATTGTATGCTAACATCTAAATAAATAGCAAACATATGTTTATGTCCATAATATGTATGCATAAAGCGCACTAAAAGTTTGGAAGCTTTTATTCCGACTCTTCAACTTCAAGTGAAACCTCATTCCATATTTTTCAACAACTTGAGCAGTTACTTTATTAATCATTTATTTTAACTCTTTTGCAAGAACATCTTTCTTAAGAACAAATGTCAAAATGTGTTATTATTCAAATAAGTCAATCTAAAAAGATCCCATTCGATGTTAAGCTCTGTTATTCTCTGTTTACTACATCTTGCATCATATCAGATGTTAGGTTTTAGAGACTTTTGGTTAGTCTTCAACAATGTCATTAACTAAAGTAAGTCTAACATTTAATCTTATTAATTATATAATATTTAGTTTTTAAAAAGTGATAAATAAGTGGTTCCAATTTTTCAAAACTCTAGATAACACTTTGACCTCTCCAACTATCCTGCGATTAGTCTTCACTCTGTTATTAGTTTCTTTATATAAAGGTTGAGATTATTAAATTATTTCTTACTAAATGCAGTAATAAAGTTATTTTTGAAGGCCTACAATCTTCTTTATTTCAAGTAATTTTAAGGGTACCACAAAGTATCTTGTGGTACCCTTAAATATTTGCTCATGTATTGTTCCTTATCTACAATATCAATCCTCATGAAAATTTAACATATAAATTGGTTCTATTTGTTGACGACTCAACTTAAAACTCTTGTCTTGACATAAAATTTTCACCTTTTGATTGCTCAGAACAAGAAACTTATTTTTAATCTGATCTCTGTTCTGTAAAGTCTAAAGCGTGGCTTATGAATTTAAATTCTGCAATTTTTATTAGATAACAAAACTCATTTATTTACTGCAAAAAAATATTGCAATAACGTTGGTATTCCTATATTGATGAAAACAACTCTCTTACTCTTAGACAGCCTAAAAGCACATAGTAAATGTAATGCGGTTGTGGTATAGTGGTATAGCACTTGCGTCATAAGTGAGAGGTACCTAGTTTGATCCCCACCATGCCCCCGCTTAACTTGTTTCTCTGTGCAGGGGCCTTACTTGAAAAGGTTTGTGATTTAAAGTTATATAGTTGAGAGAGAGTTATAATCACAATTAAGTAGCCTCTTCATATCTAGTGGCATTTTCAGCCTTGGGGAGGTGAATTAACATAAAAAATAATAATAATAAATTAGATCTGCTTCATCTACCAAGCTTGAGCAATTCTCTTATTATTCTAAGGTTGCATTTCTATCTTTTTTCAACAAATACAATCATGGTCAATGCTCAAACAAGCTATCATCTCTATTACAATAAACCAAAACTCATTCTTGCTTCTTTCTTATTCAATAAGTTGCATCCTTTTACTGTATCTGTCCCTTTCATGTTATAAAAACTTTTATTAATCCGTTTTTTTTCCTTGCACATCAAAAATACATTATAACTACTAGCCATCTTCATTTTTTTTAATATAGAATCTACAACTTTTTAAGTCTTCGAATAACTATTTCCTAGCATTTTTACTTAATCTCTATTTTAAAGTAACTCTTTATTTAATAGTGGTTTCTTGCAATCTTGTTGGAAGTAAATTAGAGTTTGAAATTATATAAAATATATGCCAGTATTTAATAAGTAGTAAATGTAAGCATAAAATTATAAAAAATTAAGTATTATAAACTTTATTCTAGCCCCGGCTATCAACCCCTGCTAAATGTTATAGCTTAGCAAGAGCCAGGTTTGATAAAAGTCTCATTTTTACCTGGGGCCAGGGCCTTGGTCAATTACTAGTCTAGAAAGAACAATTTTAGGTAAATCAATCAGTAATTGAAATCTGACTACTCTTTTTTGCAATTGATTTTTGTTTCTTGAACTCCAAAGGTTTCTTAACTTTATTATTCTCAACTTTTTCAAGTTGATAAATCAAGCTTGTGGCTGCTTGTTAAAATGTTGAAGAGCAATATTTGCACTTGAAAATTGAACCATTTAAATGAATAAAAATGTTTCCAAACTTGGTACATCCACTGATTTTTTTCCATTTTCAGAATCTTATTTAAATTTATGTCTTCTAAACAAAATTAAAAGTAAATTTATTATGTTGTTTATATTCATAATGAAAAAATATTTCGCCAAAACTCAGTCAAAGAAGCATCCAATTTTATTTATTGGCTGAACAAGTGAGAATAAAATGTAAACAAAAAAAAAAAAGAAAAGAAAGACAGAAAAAATTCATGTTTGCTTTTTTTTTTTTAAACTGTTTAGTGAGCAAAACTTATTATTTGAACTATTTAAAAAATAAATAAATTATTCAATTTATTTCAAATAAAATAAATTATTTGATTATTTAAATAATTATTTATTTGATAACAGCCCTAGATGAATTGGCACTTTAAAAAACTACCTTTTTTTATAAAAATATAAGATAACATACTCTTCCTGCCGTTTCAGTTAAACAAGTTCACCTATTGTTACCTTACATTTAAAGTAGCTCTTTTTGCTGATGACTTTCAAGTCTACCCAAATCAGTAATTTACTGAAAACAACTATTGCAATACTGTCGACATTCCTATACTAATGAATTGCAAACTTCCCACTGCGTCCTCCCCCTCTTACTTGGATTATTAGTTACTACTTGGGAGTTGGGAGTGAATTAGATTTTGAAAAATTATTATCAATCAAATATTAACATCTATAAAACAATTAGAAACAAAAAAAATTAATAAATTGATTAATTTTATTATGCAATAAATTAAAATAATATTTATTTGCACAAATTATTCTAATTCTATTTTTACTTTTTGTATTTTAATATTTAATTATTTTTATTATATTTTTATCACATTAGTTTCTACTTTTACTTTTATGTATTTTACTACAAGTTAATTATTTTTACTACACATTTATTACATTAGTATAAAATTTACTACCAATAAAAAAATTATTTTATGTTTTTAAATTACCTAGATGCCCAGCTTCCACGTGGTGTATCTTGAATTGCTTTTTGCAATGAGTCTGCTTTCTTTTGTTCTTCTTCATTTTTATTGACACTATCAATTTCATACTCATGTCGATGTTGTTGTTTATCCAAAGTATTTTTTTTGTTTGTTCGCTTATTCTTAAAACCCTTCATTTGATATCTACAAAAATCCAAAGAATATTTTTCACTTGTTTGTTTAGGATTCTTTATTTGGGATTCAACTTGAATGAAACCCTTTGACATCTACAATTTTATCATTTATTAAAATTGTATTCAAAAAAATTTAATCAAAATATTTATCTAGCTAGTATACAATAAAGTAAGCATACTTTCTGTTTACAACAGACCAATCATTTGTGTACGATTTTATGCAATCTTTTACAAATGAATCATTAATAGACCTAGAGAAAAAAGAACATAAATTGAGAAGAAAAAAAAAATTTTAAAAACGAATAGTTAACAAAACAAAGTAAAACAAAACTATATAAAAAGTTAAAATAAAAAAATAAAAATAAATACAGGTTTCCATCAGGAACAGATGGTCCTACTGTTCGGTATGCTCTTTTGATTGTGGTTACCTCTATATCATCGTCAGGAAACTCTGAGAGCACAGCTAAAGGATTATTATCATCTGCTAGAGATTGTTGCTGCATAATAAATTCTTCAAAGTCAACTGGCTCAACAACATCTTGAAAAGTTGCCTAAATATATTCTTAGTTTCTTATTGGTTGCTTATAAACAATTAAAGAAATAGAGATTTATATTGGATGCTTTAAAATTACTTTAAGACAGAATTTATTTAGCTTCTTTTTGAAAAAAATAATTTTATTGTTTATTTTTATTTTTTTTACAACACAAATTGCATTTCATTACTTGCTTTACATAAATTTACTTATTTTTTAAGCTATTACTGCATATCACTACTGCTTAAACATATGCCACTACATATATAAACCACTAAATAAAAATAAGATATTAAAAGACTATAAGATAATAATAAATAAAAAAATATTAGAACTGCATAAACATATACCACTACTGCATTAACATATAATTGGTATTCAAAGGAAATACACTGTCAAAAACATCATGAACAAATAAGTTTTTGTGTAATAGTTGAAATAGAAAATCTTAATAACTCATTAGTAATTGATTTATTAAATTTGTTTAGTATATTAAACGATAGAAAAGTTAAAATACTAAATAGTGTTATAAATAACTCCACACTGCCAAAAATGGACTTAGTGCATTTCCTTGTATACCCAAAATATACCACTACTACATTAACATATACCACTACATATATAAACCACTAAATAAAAATAAGATAATAAAACAAAGTTATTTATTGCAAATTAAAACTTGAAATGGTTAATTCTTAAATGATTATCCTATTCTGTCTTTTTTTATATTTTTTTAAAGTATCATTTATATAAAAAATTTACAAAAAGAAATACTGAAAGACAAGAAAAATTTACTGAGGCAGCATTTTGATAACTAGCAAGTTCTGTTAATGAAACTTTTGAAATTTGTGATTGGCGATTGCCAGGTATCATCATAGAGGATGCAACAGAGTTTGTTTGTTGGTTTCTATAATTTAATAATTATTAAATTGTCATGTTAACAATTTTTCAACATAACCGTTAATACAAAAATTATATATAAAAATATATAAATTGCAGTTATAAACACTCTTCATAAATAACATACTTATATAGGTATTTACAAAAACATAACATACATCAAACAACAAAGTACAAAATAAATACTGAAATAATTTTGAAAATCATAATATTCAGCTGCTGTTTTCTACTATAAATACTGCAATTTTCATTTGTGTATATATTTTAGAGGTTGTTTATTCTTAGAGATAATTAAAAAAAATTTTTTAATTGGAATGAAGGTAGCAATTAACTAAAATCAGGAAAATTATTTTGTAAATATATTTAGAGTATATACACTAAATGTGGCTGCTTAAATATAAATATACCCTGATTCAATTTTATTTCATTTTATGATTGCATATATAAGTGTGTGTGTGTTTATACTACAGCACTTATTGATATATATTTTCCCCCTTTTTATGTAGAAAGGAGGAAAAAATTAAGAACATTCAAAATAAATTATTGCTGACCCAATCAAAACCCTCAGTTGATCTAGCAGCAACTTATTTTCTTTGCCTGTCTTCCCTATATTAGTCAATGTACTGAAGGCCTCACAGCTCCATAAATCAGTATGATGTCAGATTGTCAATCTGAATTTAGTTTTAAAAAACTATTAAGATTTTTAGTTTTATGTTTTCAATTAAAAACTTTTTTTAAATATTTATTATAAAAACGAAAAGTCTTTTTAATACGCAATATTTTTTTAGTTGCATTTTTAACTTAGTATACTTGATGAAAGCAAAAATAATATTTAAAATAATAGATATTTAATAACTTAAAAAAAATATTTAATAACTTAAAAAAAAATATTTATTTATAAACAGTTATAAAAATTTGTTCGTTTAAATTTATGTAACACAAAAACAATTGCAAAATTGCTTTTGAGTTACATAAACAATTATTGGGGTGCAAAATTCTATAAATTTTTAGGAACTCCAGACTTTGGGTCAAATAATAGGGACTTTTTGGATTCTGCACTCCAATTTTTTCTTTTTTAAATCAATTAACTAGAGTTTATTATTATTTTTTTAAAGTCTTCAATCAAAAATATAAAGATTTCAAAAACTACTAAAACCTTTTAGTTTTTTGTTGTTGTTATTTTTACAGTTGTTTTTTTTAATATATATTTTAGTGAATTTCTTATACTGGTCATTTATTGCTTATCAAGTTTATTTAAAAGAAATTGTCTAAACATTTTTAACAATTAAGAATATTTTTAGCATAAAGTCGCTCACAAAAACATAACAAAGAATAAACTTTTTTCTTCTTTTTTTATTATTGCATATATACATAACACTTATTAAAGTTACATTTTATTTTAAATGTAGTTAATGTTTTGTACTATTTTTGTTTATGTAAGTAAAAATGCTAAAACTCAACCTAAATAACATTTCCTGTTTAAAAAAAATAATTGTATTTTAGTAAAACGATCTAAAATAATTTCATTGCGCTATTGTTATAGGGACTTTTAAGTATCTTGATATAATTATTATTGTAAATGTTATAATTATTATTATAATTACTTTTTTTATTGACAATAACTATTATTATTATAATTATATAAACCATCATTATAAATAATTATTATCATTTATTATTATTATTTTATTGATATGCATTTTCTCCTCCACCTTTTAAAAAGGAGTTATAAATTGAAAATAGAATTATTTTAGGGTTAACTGCAGATTTATCTGTATTTTTACACAAGCTTTATTTTGTCTGTGTAAACTGACAAATTATGTATATATTTTATACATAATTTGTCCGTTTACACAGTTCAGTTTACACAGTTTACACATATATATTGTATATATATTATATATATTTTATATATATAGGCCTTGGCAGGAACTGCCAAAGCCTATATATATAAAATATATACATAATATATGTAATATATATGAATATACATTAATACATAATATGTGTAATATATATGAAAATGCATAATATGTGTAATATATATGAAAATACATAACATGTGTAATATATATGAAAATACATAATATGTGTAATATATATGAAAATACATAATATGTGTAATATATATGAAAATACATAATATGTGTAATATATATGAATATATATATATATATATATATATATATATATATATATATATATATATATATATATATATATATATATATATATATATATATATATATATATATATATATATATATATATAGTGAATTAGGGACCTGTGTATATGTATATTAGGGCCCTGTTGATCAATTCAATTTGAAAATAAAGTGTCGCTTCAATTCGAGATTCGATTCAAAAAAAATGATTCGAGTTTTTTAAAGTTTTTCAGATATCTAATGCTAAGATGCTACCAAAATGTTTTTCTTTATCTCAGCCTGAGTAAAGTAACTGTAATCAAAAATTATTTTTTAAGTACATTAATAAAAATAAAAATAAAATGCTTAAAATTGGATTTCTTTATACTGCTGATTCCTGTACAAGCCTCCACACCTGTGCAAATCAGTTTACACTGAAAAATAAAGCCCATGCAAAATATACATTTTTAGTAAAAGTAATGTTAAATATTTTTATGTTTTTATTTAGTTATTCTTTTAAAAACTTCTCAAATGATCTAATTTTGTAAAACTGTTTGTTTTACTAGTTAAAAAACAAAACTATTTCATTCAGGATATGCTAAAAATTATGAAAAAAATAATTTTTAAATATTCTGATGTAAAATTAAAAAATAAAAATCAAACAAGTTATTTCAAACAGCTATAACTGTTCTGTATTATTCTGTGTTATGTTAAATAATAAATAATTAGTATGTTAAAAAGCAGACAAAATATGCATGTGTTGCAAAAGAATTTAACATAACATATGGGTTTTCAGTATTCTTTAGAAATTTGAAAACTTATAGAATAAGAACTGTTAATAAAGACTTTTTCTTTTTTGTATAATCACACATTTTGCTTAATTAATTGATAAACTAGTTTGTCATACTTTAAAGTTGTTTAAAGTAGTGCATATTTCCACATAAACTTCATGTTGTTGTTTTTTTTGAAAAAGATGGTAGTTTATTTAAAATGCTAATATATAACTCGTTATTAAAAATCGAATATCTCATTTACAATCAACAGACTGCTAATTAATTTTTATAGTATAAAATGAGTGTCTGATATAAAGTTATCAAGTTATTCATATGCTTATCTGAGTTGAACTCATCAGTGGAACGAGCCTTAGTCTACTGACAATGCTTATGTCAGACCAAAGACTCAGAATCTACCACACAACACTTAACGCTATCTTGGCCATTGAAATTAATTATTTAAATTTTAGTGATAATCATAGGAAAAATGTAATTGAATAGGTTACGTATATATTTTTACAAAAACAGCGAACAGCTATTTTCGATTTTCCCAATAATTCAACCTGCTTTATTTAATAATTATTCAATAATTCAACCCAAAAACAGTCGAAAAAAACACAATTGATTACAATAGTTTAAGCAGTGAAAGTGAATGGGAAACACCTGAATCGAGTGAAAGTGAAACTGCGTTCAATTTTGAAATTGAATATATTATGGGCTAATTTATTTATAAATAATTTATAACTATATATATCCCTTTTTGTATGATAAAAATAATACTACATGATTTCTCCATATTTTATTTTCGTTTTTTTACTTGCGATATATTTAATACATTTAAATATATTTTACAGCAATAAACTTGATATATAAAATAATACTGCATTTAATACCCTTCTATTGGCTCTATTCAGGGCTGGACAATGTAGGTTTTTTGAGTTTGGGGTTTTATAAAAAAAACAAATAAATAGAACTTCTGGGTTTTTTGGGTTTTTTTGTTTTAACAATTTAAGTTTTGAAAACTATTATTATGACATTTTTTGCTAAAATTTTAATATCTTAAAAAATTTTGTTATGATATTCATTGAATTTTCTTGAAATCTCCATATTATGATTGTCATGCAGTCATTATTATTTGATTTTTTCATTTTAATAATAATATCTAACATTTAAAAATGAAATCCAAAAAACCCTTAAAAACCTAAAAACCAACTTTCTGAAATAAAAAAGTGAGTTTTTTCCAGCTCTGGTTCTAAACATATAAAAATGTTAAAAAGATCAGAAGCTTAAACATATACTTTCACCTAATATCCGAAAAGAATATAAAATCAATTACGAGTTCAAAAAAGAGTATGATAGTAAATTGAACAGAAACGATAAAAATTAAAATTTTAGTCTAAACAATTGAAAAACAATTGTAAAAGAATAGAACTCTTTGGTTCAAGGTTTATTTAAAAAAAGATTTCAGTATAATTTAAAGATATCATGGCTAAATTATTTTAAAGATATCATTAAAGATATCATGGTTAAATTATTAAAATTTAATTAAATTACATAGCACAAGAAAAATGAATCAACTAAAGAAGCGCAATAAAAAATGTATTTCCATTATTTTGATAAGTCAATATATTAATACTCAAATAGATCTTGCAAAAATGCTACATTTATCTCCAAATTTTTTATTTAAACGTCATGATGCTTAAACAAAGAAACATGATGGTTGCGAAGGTTTTTCTGCCATTTTTTGCTTTGCTTGCAAAATTATTGGTTTGACTTTATCTGGAACAAAATCAACAAAAATCTGATTATACAACTGATAAAACTGGAAAATAAAAGAACAAAGTCTGAATAAAAATCAAGATACAAAACCAAAACAAAAACATAATAACAAAAACTCACTAAGTAGAGCACACACTAATAACTCTGAGCAGAAGATAAAAACTGTAATGTAACTTCAAAAAAACTATTATCTCAACATTACAAGTATCCAACTATTCAAAGTTAAATTACCAAAGTCTTTTTAAATAATTTGTCACTCTCCTACTTGTTAATAAAGCTTTTGTAGAAATTTTTATATACAATGACATTTT